ATCCAAAAACTGCTCATCAACAATCAGACAAGTGGGTAATGCTGGAGTGAACCATAAAATTTTGGGTAGAGCCGGAACTAAATGTTGGCTAGGTAAGCGTCCTGTAGTAAGATGAGTTTTTTATGAGTCCATGTAGAAATGAGTCACTTTTTAAAAATCTATTTTTGAGATGGATTTTTTGACCTAATTTTTAAAGGCATGTAATCTCTAACGTGGAGATCATGAATATGAAAAAATAAATAAATAAAAAATTAAAAAAATATAATAATTCTATTAAGAAAACATTTGGATCGTTAGTTTCAATTGTTTTTAGATGGACCACCTATTTGCATCCATCTTTAAGATGGATGCTTTATACCTCGGGGACCGCAAATATAGAAATATGGTCCCTGCTGCATGAAACAATTTTTTAAAATAAAAATACTAACAAATGAAATAAAATAGCAAAGTTTAAATAAAAAAAAAAAGCAAAAAATTCCAAATACCTCAACAAAGTATACAAAATATGGATTTAAAAAATTGATTCATGGTTGGAATCATTAAAAAAAAAAATCCAAAAAAGGAAAAATATATAAAAACATGCCAGGTGGCAAAAGAAAAGAAACTCATCAACCAAGAACATCCATATTGCATATAAAATTTCACAAAGTAACCCCATTTTCTAAAAGACAAAGTTTATATCGGTTCTAAACAATCAAATTAGAGTGCTTCTCAAAATTTTCACTAGAAGAGGTTGTCTTGATGCTCAATATCTTCAACTTGATCATCTCGACATCTAGATGCATGGACATAAGGAAAAAATGTATTTCAAGTTTTGATAATAGTGCATATTGTACTGTATTTTTTGACCATCGATTTTCAAGATTTTCAAGTTTTTACAAATCTCCTCGATCTACACTATTTGTGAAGCTTTAAATTTTATAATTAGAGATAAAAATATATTTTAAGGCTATCACAAAGATTTTCAGTATTGAGACATTTCTCAGCAGTATTTGAAGTTGCGCTCTACTTTGATCGTTTAGAGCCTCGTCTCTATACACACCGCACCCTTTTAAATTACTTCTAGGGATTTTTTTCTACTTTTATAATGTATCTAGCCTGGTAAAGGGCAACTTGGGGCAACTTGGGGCAACAACTCGGCTCACCAGGCGCGAATCGACCAAGTCTGAGGAGAAATATGGAAAGTATCTTATCACAAGTACGAAGCACGGGGCGCAAAAAAACACAAGCCCTTTTTTTTTGTCATAAGTTCGAAGCATATGGGGCGCTAAAAGACACGAGCCTTTTTTGACGTAAGTCATAAGCACGGGGCGCAAAAAAACACAAGCCTTTTTTTGACGTAACGCAAGATCATTCTCTTCTCCTCCTCCGCTGTCCCGTGCATATACATCCATGCATATCTCTTTCTTATTTTTTTTATCAATTTATTTATTTATTTCTTTTTTAGCATTTATTTATTTTACCTATTTATTTATTGTTTTAGCGTGCAGTTTGTATTGGGCCCAGCTCTAAACAATCAAATTAGAACCTACATTCAAACGGTTTCCAGAAATATGGTTTCAATATTGAAAATCTTTGTGATAGCTTTAAAATATATTTTCATCTTTATTTATAGATTTTAAATATTAAAAAATAGTGTAGATCCACATATATGTGAAAACCTTAAAATCTTGAAACTTGACGGTCTAAAAATGCGTTACAAAATACATTATTTCCAAAACTTGATATCTATTTTTTTTTCTCATGTCCATTCATCTTGATGTCGAAGGAATCAATTTGAAGATATTTAGGTATCAAAACAATATCTTTTAAAGAAATTTTTGTGAAGGGTTGCAATTTGATTGTTTAAAGCCTTGGCTCTATATAAACTTTTTCCTCGCTATAATGTATTAAACTCTTTGCTGAAAGGCAGGAAGAAAGAGTGACGTTTCCCCACATTTTTAGACTCTTTCCTGAAAAGTGCAGATTTGGCGCTTCACAAGAACGCGTCAATACGCAACGAGTTTTAGAAAAAAGAAGAAATTAAAAAAAAAAAATTTCTGACTTTATGGCCACTTGGTATTGGACGCGTTGTGTTTTGGGACTGACCATCGAATTATTAGACCAGGAAGTCAAACTTTTATATGGTTCGAATGCCAATCTAGATTAGAACGAACGTCTTCCAAATGCATTACAATTTTGTCATGGGTCAACGTGTTCGTGCCTCTATCGATATTATTATTATAAAGGCATATAATATGCTAAATTTATTTATGCCGAGTTTCATAAAACAAAACGCTCACGGCATAAAACATGGAGATGGTGTAAGCATGAACATGATGATATGGATAAATTCTCTTTAACTGATCGTCAACATACCTTAATATATAAAGATGTAGGCCTCATGGGAAAGAGGTGGAGTCTCACTTCAAAACCTCACCACGAAGGCCTCAAATATCTATTTCTACCTTTGATTACAAAATTATGAGTTATTTACGCATAGACTTTAAATAAGTTAGAAAAATACGAGTTGTTTTTTTTATATATGAGAATTATAATCGAGGCCGGTTAATATGATTTTTTTTTTTGACAAAATTACCCTCATGTTCCAACAACGCCATCCTCAGACCTTTTTTGGTCAAAACTTAAGTTGTGGTCCGAGGATGGCATTCTCGAACCATTTTTTTGTCTTTCAAAACTTAAGTTGTGGTCCGGAGAGGAAATTCTTGGACTGCAATTTTAAGATTTGAAAAAAAATAAAAAAGTGGTCCGACGATGGCTGATAAGTAATATTGTAAAAAAAAAGAAAAGATTGTGTTGACTGATCTTGATTATAATTTTCGGGTATAAATAGAGCAATTCGTATTTTCGTAACTTATTTAAGGACCATATGTAAATAACTCTAAAATTAATTTGTCCAAAAATGATAATGATCCTGTGAATATACTATTTTTAAAGCTTGAAATCGTTGTATTTCTACGCATCAATAATAGTTAAGCTTTTTTTGACACCGGAGCAACAAATTTTGGTTAGGTTTGAGGTGCGGCTTCACATTTTCCCCATGAGGCCTAAGCCTCATTTTGAGATTTCCATATATTAATTGCGCTCTCAATAGAGAAGTGTATATTATCAAATTTGGAAAGATATTCTTTCTTGGGAATATTATATGCACCATTGGGATCAAATTATAAATTCAATCTTAATAGATTGCACACAAATGGCACCTGTTTTGCATGGTCCGATCTAGGTTTTTAGGTACTCATAATCTTAATTTTTGTTTTTGGAATTTTTTAGAATATTCACTGGGTGGTCCTAAAGTTGATACCAAAACTTATGATAGAAAAGATCCCTCGATGTAGGTCATTTACTCAAGGAAATAAATGGATATTTCGCTCTTGTAGGAGCATAATATACGCGCTCTTTCTCTTGTAATTTTAATCGAGATATCCATTGTTATAATAAGCATGTAAAGACAATAAGTGAAGATCAATAGAAGGAAAGTGTTTCTCATATAAGCACAGATAGAAGATTTCCTCAACGTTTAGTTAATATAATTTCATCCAAGCATAAATTATAAAATTTTCTTAAATTTCTTTTTATTAGAGCGATTTACATATGGCCCCTAAAATAAATACTAAAATATGGTTTGCTTCCCTTATACCCAAAAATTACCAAGAAGGTCAGTCAACCCGTGGTAATTTTTTTCCAAATTTGCACCTCGGTCCAAGGATGCCATCCACGAATAGCATTTTAAATTTTTTTTTTTTTTGTTATATCTTTAATAGATCACTTCTCCAAGTTTTAGGGGCAGTGCCCAAGCTCAGACCACCTTTTGTGCTATCTAGTGAGCTTTAAGTAGGCCCTAGGATGGCATTTTCGGACCGCATTGAAGATCACAAATAAACTTAAAGTAGTCTCAGGATGATATTCTTGGACCGCGTTGATATTTACTGAAATTAACAAAAAGCAATCTGAGAATACAGACCTCAGACCGCATTTGGTATGAGTAAAAAGATAGTGGTCTGACAATTCTGACCTCGAACCGAAATTTTTCAACGAATAAGTCGCGGTCCGAGGATTCTGACCTCGGACCGCATTTGGTATGAATAAAAGGATAGTGGTATGAAGATTTTCACCTCGGACCGAACTTTTTAAAAAAATTAGTTGCGGTTTGAGGATTCTGACCTCGAACCAAAGTTTGTCAAATAATATGTTGTGGTACGAGGCTTTAGACCTTGGACCACCTTAAACATAAACTTTGTTCAGTCGAAGGGGTGATCTGAGGATTCCAACCTCGGACCACCTGGCCTTTGCCCCTAAAACTCACATCAGTGCCTTACTAAAGAAATAACACAAGAAAAAGGAATTAAAATGCTGGTCGAGGATGGTAAAAATTTGGAAAAAAAAATAAAAATACCATGGGTTGACCGATCTTATTGGTAATTTTCGGGTATAAAGGGAACAAATTTTATTTTAATATTTATTTTAGGGGCCATACATAAATCGCTTTTTTTATTATTCAATTTTTATTTGAAATTTGGCGATAGATGGTCAGCCTGAATGCCTAGGGAGAACATAATTTGTGTGTATGGTTATCCAATTTCAAATTGGATATCTTGAATTGTTTCACGAAGTTTAAGATTTTTTTTTTTTTGAATTTTGAATATTGAATATTGAATATACACCCACAACTACCTGAGAAATTTTTCAACTACCCGATTTGGAATTCTTTTGATTATGTGAGATACAAGTAGATGTTATCTTTGTATACTTTCCCTATTTGAGTTAATAACAGTTTATGGAGTGACTTATCTCAAGTTCACAACCTAAAAAACCACATGTTACTTCGATCTTCACTGGGTTGACTTTACTGTGGGTCAACTTTACTGAGATTTTTGCTGACATATATCAACTGCAACATTTAGCTATCCATCTCTGGCTGGTATTGAAGTCATTCATGGAGGTCCCATGACTTCGTCCGGCAGCCGAAATGTTTTAATTCTCTCAACCATTGTCCTAGGTCAAGTCTCAAGACATAAGGTGAGTACAGAGAGAGAGCTAGCTATAAATAATCATATCGACCTTCCATTTTCAACACAAAATATTCCACACATTGAAGAAAAAGGCTTGTGTTTTGTTTCTGCAAATTTAGAAGCTCAATCAGGCCAGAGCTTGCTTTGTTTTCGGAGTGGAACATGGAAAACATAGAGAACAGGCCAAGGTTCTCAAGCTGCAGGGGTGTCGCCTTTGAGATCAGCCCACCAAGGGCAAGCCCCTTCTCGATTAGAGAACCCCAGCCTGAGGCCGAAGGCCGCTGGGCATGGCTCGCCAACAGGTCCAAGGTGCTCTCAATTCCCTCTGCGTCTGCTTCGTTCAGGCGTTCAGTGAGCCGTGCTAGTAGCCATTTTTGCGATGTCGAAGTTGACGAAGAAGTCAATGATGAAAACCAGGAAGATGGAGAGACGGACATCGAGAAACAGTTGCAGAAGACACCCCCCGTTGCTCCTGTAGAGGCCACGCCGGTCTCTACTGGCGAGAAGAAGAATAACGGGCGGTTTTACTCCAGGATTTCAATAATGTTGCTTGACCAGGGGCTTTTCACTGTGTACAAGCGTCTATATGCGTTGTGCATCACCCTCAACTGTGTGGCACTTGTGCTCGCGGCCACTGGCAGGTTTTCTTATGCCCGAGGCCATGCGACAGCTTTCGCTATCGGCAATGTCTTGGTCACGGTGCTCTGCCGCAGCGAGGCCTTCCTTCGCATGGTTTTCTGGCTTGCGGTGAAGGTGCTAGGGCACCCTTTTGTGCCACTCCACCTTAAAACTGCAACCACCTCATTCCTCCAGTGTCTAGGTGGGGTGCACAGCGGCTGCGGCGTATCGGCTATCGCATGGCTTGTTTACGCGCTTGTGCTCACGTTGCAAGACAGGGAGAACACCTCCTCTGCCATCATAGGAGTAGCCTCCTCCATCTTGGCTCTCCTCTGCCTCTCTGCACTTGCAGCCTTCCCCCTGGTGCGCCACCTCCACCACAACGTTTTCGAGCGCACGCATCGCTTTACTGGATGGGCCGCCCTTGCCCTCCTCTGGGCCTTTGTCCTACTTACTGCTTCCTTCGACCCGATATCCAAATCATACGACCTACAGAACGGCGCAGTGCTTGTAAACAAACAGGAATTCTGGTTCACTGCTGCCACAACGATACTCATAATCCTTCCATGGCTCACCGTGAGGAGGGTCCCGGTACAGGTTTCAACACCCTCAGGGCACGCCAGCCTGATCAAATTTGATGGTGGTGTAAAGCCAGGAATATTGGGCAGAATAAGCCGGGCACCGCTTTCTGAGTGGCACGCATTCGGGATCATATCTGATAATGGCAAGACACACATGATGCTAGCAGGGGCAGTGGGCGACTTCACAAAAGGGCTGGTAACGCACCCGCCTCGCCACCTGTGGGTGCGGTCTTTGCACTTTGCAGGGCTGCCATACCTGGTGAACATGTACCAGAAGGTGCTGCTGGTGGCCACAGGGTCCGGGATATGCGTGTTTCTATCGCACATGTTGCAACAGTGTGCGGCCGAGGTATATGTAGTATGGGTGGCGAAGGCCGTGGAGCAAAATTTTGGTGAGGAAATAGTGAAAATGGTGAGAGGGTACCCAAAAGAGAAGGTGATACTCCATGATACTGCAACAATGGGGAGGCCAAATGTTGGTGAACTGAGTGTTAAAGCGGCTAAGAAGTGGGGCGTGGAGGCAGTTGTGGTCACCAGTAACCCAGAGGGTAGCAGGGACGTGGTTAATGCTTGCAAGGCTGCTGGCCTCCCCGCCTTCGGCCCCATATGGGACTCCTGATAGACTTATCTCTTTCTAGTCTTTATTTTTTATTTAGACTTACCTCTTTTTAGTCTTTATTTTTTATTTGAGAAATGATCTTATAGGACCCTCGTTCATCCATGTATGTAAAGCCTCAAAGGATCATCATTAAATTTCATATGGATCTATAGAAAAGTCAATTCCCACATCCATGTGATAATTTTTTTAGAAATCCATACTAACTTTAATGATGATCTTTTAGGGTCCTACGCATATGAAGAAAGTCCTATAGGAACATTACTTTTTTATTTATACCTTCTTATTGTACAGGTTCAAGATCCCTCTTGACCTCTCATTTTTACGCATTCAACAAAAAAAATAAGTGTGGAAATAGAGATTCCCCCAGTTTCGTAAGTAAAAATGGTCCAACATTTTTGTGCGGAAGTCTTTAAATTTTCTTAGCAAATTACGTACAAACCTTATTTTGGTGGGTTAAATTACCATTTTGAGGGTTATATGTCCACGAGGACCACTTTTCTCTTTTGTGTAAGTTGCGTCCCTCTCAAAAACACGGAATATAATTTTTTTTTTTTTTAGCATTCTTCTTTCTAAACCATGCGCTTTTCTCTCTCTATCGTTTTCCCAATGTGGACGCCTTTACAGGGTGCAGGATATTTTGGCGTTGAGCATCGAGTAAGGTTCTCAGTAGTAGATTAGAAACAGAGAAGAGAGAGAGAAGAGTTTCGGTTTTCTCGTGAAGTAGAGAGATGTGGGTTTTGCAGAAAAGGCTGTTTTCTCAAAGACCGAATGAGGAAAAGGTATTTGGTGTCTGAGATAGGCACTTTCAGAGAGAGAGAGAGAGGTGGATTTGGCTGGAGGAGAGAGAGTAGTTGTAGAGAAATGAGTTTGTAGTGGAGGTCTGGGAGCAACCATTTAGACATTGAGAGAGAAAGAGAGAGATGTTGGGTTGAAGGAAGCCCAAAAAAAACGCCATTTTCAGGGTTTTTTCTCTTTAGGGCAGCTAGGTGGTCACCTCCATTGTAGTGAGAGGGGGAATGGGTAAAAGAAAAAAATGCAGAGGAAACATGGCTTCTTCTCCGCTCTCAAAAAAGAAATGGTGAGGGGCCTCTCCCCATAGCACCTCTCCGATGTCCAGCTTTGTCCGCCGCCACCAGAAGTCTAACAACAACAGTGGCGCTAGTGGCGTCCACCACAGCCAGGCGGCCATCGACTTTCCTTTTATGATGGGTGGGTAAATGTTTCAGAGAGAGAGAGAAAGAGAGAATTTAGGAAAAAAAGAGTTCGTTAGAGAGAAATGGGAAAAAGTGTTAGAGAGAAATGGGAAAAAGCGTTATCCAGTAATGCAAACTGCAGACAACCTGCAGACAACATTAGTGACTTAAGAAAAAAAAACTCTGTCCAGCATTTTTATTGTCAGAAAGGAGAACAATTTAAAAAAAAAAAAAAAAACCCACAGAAAAAAAGGTGGGTGCTCGAAATATTAGAAAATAACCCCTAAATAGTAAGATTCTACATAATTTGCTCTAAATGTTTTTCCTTTTGTTATACCTATTTTGCCCTAATTCAAAATTGAATCATTCCGGCTGATATTTTTTCAAGATTTTCAACCATGTGAAAAGGGTAATAAAAAAACTCAAACAACTCCCTTCGAACTACCTCGTATAACTATAAGTAAGGTTTTCTTTTTGGGGCCTCCATAAATGCAAACCATTTCATTTTAAAGGAATTGGGCTTTGGTGAGGGTTCTCTTCCAGTGAGATACTTAAGATTGTCTTTTTTTCATGGTAACTTAAAACATCATAACTGCCACAGTCTCTTATGCAGACCGATTACAATTGTTGAGATCGGTAGTTGTTCATCAACCATCTTCTGGGTTATATCATTACATATAGTATGCTAGTGAGGCTTTAGCATAATGTTATATGAGCTGGTATAACTCATAAAAAGGGGATTCACCTTGTCAAGTGGAAGAATGTATGTATGCCAATAAAAGAGAGGGGACTTGGAATTTGGGATATTATTGAGTTCAATAATACAATCATGATGAAGTTAGCATGGAAGATTCTGGCTAATCCATCTTCTCTTATTGTGTATTTCTCTAGGCACATGTACTTCAAGAATTCGTCTATCTAGGAAGTTCCAAGGAGGGCCTATTCCTATACATGGAAGGGCATTCAAACATGGTTGTCTCTCTTACATCATAATGTTCGATGGATTATTGGGGATGGCAGGATAGTTGACTTTTGGGCAAATCCCTAGTTAATGGATAAATCCATTTTGGAATCGTATGGTTTCAGTATTTGAAAGAACTTGAGAAATCTTGCCAAGCCTAGGGTCGCATATTATTTATATGGTTCTTCACAATCTTGGTATTTTCTTACCCCTACATCAGGCCTTGCGCTTACAATCTGAAATCAGTGGATTAGCATTTGGAAGGAAGTGGATGTTGTTTCAATCCCTCTCAAACCCCACCCTATTTTTTTGGTATGGATTCACTCTTCACATGGATATTTTTCTATTAAAGAGGCATAGAATTTCATCTGTCGTAAGGGTTCTTCTCAACCGGTCTTCAGAGCACTATGGTTTTTTAAGTGTCATCCAAGAGCTTTCAACATCGTCTTCCCACCTCTTCTCTCATGCAACGGAGGGGAATTACCCTTGTTTCGGTGTGCCCTTCTTGTCATTCTAATGATGACAATATTTGTCATCTATTGCCTAAATATGTTTTCTCACAAGAGATTTGGAGGTCGATAGCATGGAGATGTGGTAAACGCTTTATTACAGATTGTTCTATTGTGGCTACTTTGAGGAAATGGTTAGCATTCAGGTTCAAGTCTGATGGTATTATCAACATTTGGCATTCTCTCTTCTTCACAACATTATGGATGATTTGGGAGGAACGGAATCATCGTATGTTTCAAAGGAGGACACTCATTCTTGAGAAGTTGATTCATATGATCACTTGTCATGTTCGTGATTTGGCAAATGCTAAGGCATTGACTTACTACATCTCAGAAAAAGAAATTACTGAGAACAAACGACTTACGTGGCGGCAGCAAAGGATCAAGTTACCTATAACAGTAGCTTGGGCTTTTCCACATTCACATTATTTTAAGCTAAATGTTGATGGGTCTTCCATCCAGAATCTAGGTCGAGTTGGTTGTGGGGGCATCCTGAGACAAGATGATGGTTCTTTTGTTGCTGCTTTTTTTATTCTTCTTGGAAGTGCTTCCAATAATTATGCAGAATTCCGAGGTTTACAAGAGGGTGTTGATTTAGCCATTCAAATGGAAAGCTTCCTCCATCAAATAGAGAGTGATTCTTCCTTACTTGTCCAGGTCATACAGCGCAGATTAAAGCTCCATGGGCTCTACATACCATAGTTGTTAACTGCATAGTTAGTCTTGAGAATCATTCATGGTCCTTTTGCCATATTTACCGTGACGCTATATGGTGGTCGTTGTTCTTGCTAAAAAGGCTACAATTTTTTCGAAGGCTACCATTTGGCTCTCTAGGCCTCCAGAATTTCTTAACCTCCCTTTACTTTATGATGTGGCGCAACTACCCTATCTGTAGGGTTGTACAATAGTATGATGTCATTTTTTTCTATCTTTTATTAATGAAAAAACGGGTTGAGGGCCTTCTCCCTCACTGATTTACCAAAAAAAAGACAAATGCATCCACTCAATTTCACATCTAATAGTCAAGATTAATTATTACCATCTTGTACCAAAGTCAAATAGTCTCATTATATACTTTTCCATTTGGTATATTTTGTTCTATGATTTTAGTTGTTTCGTCTGAGTCATCATTAGGCTATTGGTGTTATTAGTGAATTTCTCAAGTCATAGTTCCCCAATTATCCTTTTTAGATTATTGATTTCCTTTTATGTAACTTTATCACCGCTACGACCATGATCACGACCTTATTTAGTAGCCATCGCATAAAATGCGGCCTATCCTTAGGCACTTTAGCAATGGGCTAGTTTTTATGCCAACTAATACATAAATAAAATTACGACTTATAAAAGAAAATAAAAACGTGTTAAAATGAAAAATTTGTACTATCTGATTATGCGTAAGAATATTTTTGAGATTTTATCATCTTCGGTAAAAAGATTTTAAGTGTGCACAAGATGTGATGACCAACTTGTTTCAAGTTGTGGGTAGCTTAAAAGCCCAGATTCAATGTGGGCTAATCATGCATCGAATTTTCAGTCATGAACAATTATAGTTGGCTTTAAAGTTAAATACAGTTGCAGAGGAGCTCAAAACCATACTAGACCCTTGGATCTTTAAACCGACGCCACATGACGTCGCATTGACGCCAAATTTTAAAATTAAGAGTTTTTAGCATCTTCCTACCATTCTTAAAAGCTTTGGACCCTTCAGATTTTCATATCCGGGGGTTCCATTGTCAGTTTGCTCTCTTTTTTGCGCACCATAAGCTATGGACTATAGTATAAGAATTATTTTTGTTATATCTCACCCATCCGGTGTCATTTTGAGCTTGTTTTTGGGGAATGTTTTGGGGGTATCCTAGATTAATGTGGGATTAATTTAGGGGCCAATTTGCATTTGTTTCTGCCTATTTTGATCATGCCATGTTATCGACCATCTGATGATAGATGACTACAATTGACTCCAAAACTCTTGGCTTTTATTCGTAGAGGATCCTCCCTCACCAAAAATGGCTTTCCTTTGAATTTGGGCCCCAGTATGTATCCGTTTGGCGGCCGTTTTTTCTGGCAGTTTTTTGGTGGATATATTACTGGGTACCTGTCGGGATCGACAATCTCACATATTTGTCATCTTTGGGCTGTCTTTGGTTAGGACCCCATTTCTACATATGTGGTTCAGAAAGGGTTAAGCATCCATCTTAAAGATGGATGCAAGTAGGTGTGTCTTTTAAAAACAATTGAAACTAACCGTCTAAATGTTTTTTTATTAGAATTATTATTTATAGTTTTAAAATTTTTATTATCTTTTTATATTCATGCTACAGCCCTTCTCACCGTCTATTATTTTGGACGGTGAGGATTTGTCATAAGGAGGTCAACGAGGAACCGGGCCACCTAAAGCCCCTGTAGCCCCTGCCCTTTTTAAGAAGTTATTTTCCTAAATGAAAATTTTCCCACCGAAGGGGCCAGGGTTCCTATAGTCTGGTTATTATTTTAAATGAAAATTTTCCCACCGAAGGGACCAAAGTTCCTATAGTCTCGTTATTTTGCTCTCATGGTTTTTTCTCCCTCATCGTGATACTCTTTCTTGAAGGATGAGCGACCCCATCAATAGTGACCGTCGTTCTGCAATTTCAGAATAAAATAATACTTTTAAAAAGCTTTTTTGCTTTAATCTTGTTCTTGGATGTTTTTTAAAAGAATCGTCAATCTGCAATTTGAGGGTAAAAGAATACTTTTAAATTGCAATCTAACACCTTTATTTTTTCAAAAGAATTCTCGTCCTCCAAAATAAACTCTGTTTTTTGAATTAATCTCTAATTTATTTTTTACCATCTTTCTTCAGGTGGACTCCCCAATCTTACCATGCATTCAAAATATTCCCAAAAGAAAAAGAAAAAAAATGCTGATTTGGGTTTTGAAATTTTCGTCCTCTATTTCCTCTTACCAAAACAAGAGAGAGACCTTTATTTCTTAACAAAGAAGAGAGAGAGAGACAGAGAAGCAACCTTTCCTTTCTTATGCAGAAGAGAGAGAAGCAGACCTTTCCTTTCTTTTCAAGGAGAGAGAGATGTTGCCCTGTCCATTTTCTTTATTGTATAAATCCAGAGAAACTTCAGGAGGAAGAAAAGGTGAAAGTAAAAGAATTACTAAATTTCAAAAGAATTTAGTATTACTTTCATACACGGTGAAGAGTTTTGCATCTCTATTTTGTTATTTAAATGAATTTTATATATTCTTTTGAGCCGATCAGATATAACACGGGCTAGATTTTCAATTTTTATGTAAATTTTATGTTTGTTTCTCTAGAGCTCATTCTTCTCGGAAAATTTAAATTCATATGTTTTAGAACTTAAACGAGGTATGGGGGCACTGTTTCTTCCTCTCCGACAGGAATTCGAATTATGGGTAATGGTGTTTTTCTTGAATTGGGGCCTTTTATTGGGTCTGTTTTTGCATGAGGACTTTTAAGCTCTTTTCCATTGGAAAATTGAGAGAGAGAAAAATGGGATGTTCTCTAAGAGAGATATAAATTAGGGAGAGAGAAGAGAATTGAAAACTCTGAAGAGAGACAAAGGGTCTAGGGCATGTTCGTCTTTTTATTAAACAATTCATGATTGTATATTTTGATGATATTCTCGTTTACATATCAAGCTGATGAGCTTCTATACCATCTAAGCCAGGTATTGGAAGTACTTGGTAGGAAGGTAAAGGGTTTGAATCTTAAAATTTGATCCAGATGACCAAATAAGTAAGGCACAACTCAAAATCAAAATCAATTTCTCAATATTCAAAGGGCTTTAATTCAAACTTTAACTGGCTTTAATGTCAATACCAGAAACAATGAGTCCAAGTAGAAGGAACCCATGAACTTAGAAACCATCCTCATTCTCATGGTCCATCAACTTCCAACTCCCATCAGGCAATTGAACCATCCCTTTGTTCTTCTCCACCTTCCATGATGCAGGCACAGTGTAGTCCACCTTGAGAACATCCAAGGACTTGTTAACTAGTGCTATGTCACGAGGAATCTCAAGCTTAAAACCTCCTTTCTTTCCCTGAGTTCCAGCCACCCCATGAAGATAAATCTCCAAGTTATGCACCCCAGACGGTCCCACAGGGCTCTTCAGAAAATCGGACTTTCGTGTGTCGATCCCTAAGTTGACCCCCACATCGTCGTAGCTTATCAATGGGTAGTTAGGAACAATGTCTAGTGCGTTGGTGACTCGTAAGAGCTTCAAACCCTGGCTCCCCTCAAATCGTTTTTTAAACTCGGTGTTCCCGACGCGAGGGCTCGCAAAGACAATGCCAGTCACTGGGATTTGGGTACCTGGGCGTCCCTTGGGTATGTTGGTGCCATTGGCTACAATATCTATGGCATTAAGCGTGGTTAGTGCAGCGCCTAGGCTGTGGCCTGTTATTGTAATGCTCATCTCTTCATCTTTGTAGGCTTCTACCAGTCTCCTCACTTCGGACATGACCTGCAGTTGATTAGATCTTAAGATAGGTTGATTTCATTAATGGAACTAAGCCAAAGTGCATAATTGTATGAAATAGAGTTTTGATGTGATTATGACAATACATACATGGCTTTTGATATTTTGGGGAAGTTTTTGCAATAATGGCATAGTTGTCAAGACCGGAACAAATTGTTCGGTCCAACTGGCTGGACAACTAATGGTGCATTAGCTAATCCGGTCCAAAACGAAAGTTGTGTTTGGTATAAATCCAATCAAAATCAATGTTTGTTTATTATTTGCCCGTCGGCTCGATCAATTTTCACTCACCGGACCAGGTAAACAAAGTTGAGCATTTTTTTTTTTTTTGTAATATACTCTATGTTTTAAGCTATTGTTTCCATTTTATTTTCAAAAAGTTGATATATCCAGTTCAATTGCCTGGTTGACGGGTCTTGGCTAGACCAATCCACTCATTTGTTTGTGGCTATTGGATCCTAATGATATTCTTATATCATAAGAGTTTTCGAATAATATATGAGATTGTATACTATAAAACAGCTTTTTTTAATACAAAAAAGCCACAAATACTCCTAACCGTCAAACGTCAAATCAGGTGGTCCCGTGTGCCACGAAGTTCAAAAGTACTTTGTAATGACATTAGCACACTTCTAACCAAAGTTACTTTTGGACTTGAGTATGGTGAATAGCACACTTCTTACCTCTACGTTTTACATCTAAGTGAAAAGGTAGTATGTGTCTTCTTGCACTAAAAACAAATGAACTCACTGTATAATATTCATGGTATATTTCCTATTAAGAATGTCTGATATTGGTTTTATCTCTACTGGAAAAGGCATATCCTTGTCTAATTGTGTTAATTTATTTCGCTTTGAAACTGTATGGTATTCTTGAACCTTTACTATTGCCACAAAATAGGTCACAGTAGAAAACCTTGGGCTCATCATGGTGAAAGTATTTGCTGTGCCAAATGTTTCATGCTCCCACAGGAGCACACGGTCTATTTACTCCCTCATATAAAGCCCAATCTTGGTGTATTTTAAAGACCTTAAATATTGGGGATTTAACTTATTCAACCTAAAGACTAACCCTCAAAAGAAAAAAACTTCCAAATTGCAAGAAAAAAGTGACATCCTAAAATTGAATAGGGATCTTCCAACTTTCGGATGTGTGATATAAGTTGTTAGAACTCAACATTGGACGACTTCTTTTTTTTTTTTTAATGCGAAAAAGTTGAAAAATAGACCTATTCTCCCGGGTTTTGAACTGTTTTTCTTCATAGATTGTTCGTCTCCTCGCCCCCATTCAGATTGGCAAGCTTCTTTTCTTTTTGGATCAAAACGATTTTTAGACTTGATTGATGAATAGAAAACTTACTATTTTTTTCAGCTCTAAACCACTATACATGTCTTTCATTCATCCCATTTTCTCAACCAAAAATTATGAAATTTGCTTAGATATTATCCGTTGGAACCGTCTAGGAGACTAAAAAAACCTCGTTTTAAAGAGGCCTTTAGTAACAAATTGGACTTTTATTTTTCAAAAAACCCTCGGTGTTAAAATAAAATAAAAGATTTCCATTGTCTTTTTTTTAGGTAAGGTTTTTCTTTTATTTTTTTTGTCAATTTTTTTTTTCAAATATAATCAATTTAAATATACAATATTTTTGTGGATTTTGAATTTTTTTGTATTTTATTAAAATAGACAATATTTTTGTGGATTTTGAATTTTTTTGTATTTTATTGTTTCCAAAGAAAACCCCTCAGATTTTCTTGAAAAATATAATATAACTTTTGTTTTTAATTTTATAAGGTTTTTTGTTGTGAGAACGTTATTTTCAATCTAAAATAGGCATTCCATGATTTAAAACAATGTTTTGAAAAATCTAATAAAGCTCTTGAATTTTCAATACTTTCTTGGTAAGATTTTCATCAAAATAACTATTGTAAGGTCAAAATTTTTCCACAAACCAACATAATATCATCTTGAAAATTCTTTAGCAATTTTATTCAAATTTTTTTTTTTTACTGACCTGGTACAGCTAAATTGGTCAGACCAATTTGAACTGGCTAGTTCGCCGAGCTAGCTTGAAATCGATAGGGTTCGGTTGCCTAAGAGCAGTAGGTGAGATTGACAGCAATTCGGCATTGCAACTCTTGAATGTTGATGCTCACTAGGCCCACAACCACAACTTGCTCCCCAGTCGTCATCCAATGTTATCCTTTACCATTTCCTTTTGATTTTTCATTTCTTGCTCCTTTTAATTTCATCTTAATATCCTTGTAACCATAATTATCAATACTACCATTTATTCAAGAAAGAAAGCATCTGTTCTCGAAAACATACAAGGTATGACACTCAAAAAATTTCAAAAGACTTGTTTTCTTTAATCAAAGAAAATAGGTCTTGTTTACCAAGTATTTCTAATAAGGATAAAGTCTATGAGGTTACAACTTTGTACTGTAGAAATAAACACACATAAAATATCCAACAAAAAAGAGTGTTATGTTCCGGTCCATCATCTTGACCTCATGTGTATGGATATAATGAAAAAATGAATTTCAAGTCCTAAAAATAGTCCATCTTGTGACAAGTTATGTGAGTTGTTTATTTTCAAGATTTTTAAGTGTTTATAAATATGCTTCATCTGTACTATTTTTAGAAATCTAAATTTCATAATAAGGGTTGAACATGGTTTTTCAAGACATCGTAAAGTTACTACATTTTTAGGCAAAATTTAAACGTATGCCTTATTGGAATAGTATAAGGTGGCCACCTTCTACAAACTTCAGCTAGGGACTTTATATCTAAAATCTCACAGGCGACCATCTTGACTATCATGACCAAACCCCTAAAATATATATTTTTTAAAAAATAATAGAAAGAACAATGAATTCAAAAAATGAAGTTTGTGATTTTCAATTTTTAAAATTATAAATTTATTTATTTTTCGATTCATCATCGCTGGTTGAAACTCGTTAAGTTTTAGATCCAATATCTCCACGATAGATTTGGGAGGGAGTGCGTTGGGTGATGTGCCAAAACCATTCTAATACTACATACTATATTTAACTAAATAGTTACACTTCATACTAACAAAGTCAGGATGGCCGAGTGGTCTAAGGCGCCAGACTCAAGTTCTGGTCCTCGTGAGAGGGCGTGGGTTCAAATCCCACTTCTGACAATGTCTATGCGCCATAGTTCAAAGCGAGAGTGCATTTTTTTGAGATTTTTATTAAAGAGCGGGGAAATAAACAATGGCAACAAAAAACCCAAGGACAAACTCTAATAAGGAAAATAAAGAATAACCCTCAAAGAGAGACATTTACAAGGCAGAAGTAAACTTTTTATTTTAACCAAGGGGGAGAGATAGAGATTTTAGATTTTTTATTTTAACCAAAAGATAGATATAGAGTTTGCTATTTATTTATTTATTAGTATTAAAATTATAATTTTTTTTATTTTAACCAAGGGGGAGAGATAGAGAATGTTTATTTTAACCAAAAGATAGAGATAGAGTTTGTTTTTTTTGTATTATTTATTATTTATTATTATTATTATTATTTTATAAAAAGGAGAGAAGAGTAAAGGTAGGAGATAGGGGGACAAAACCACCTTATCGGATCCCTCTTACACAGGTGACCCCTATAAAAAAAGAGGTGAGAAAGTTTGCCCTCTTTTAGACCACAAGTGCCCAAAACCAACGAATGTATTCTCACATAGGATTATTTAGAAAATATTTTAAAAGAACCTCCAAATTTTTTTGAGTCATTTAATTTAGCAATATTTGAATATATAGTGTGGGCGCGTCCCAAATTTATGTCAAATTAATTCAGCAAATAAAAAATAAAAAAAAAATACTATAATATTTTATTAGGTCTTTTCTAATTTCCACCATATAAATGTTGATTTTAATTTTTTATTTTCCATTTTTTTAATATTCTTTGGATTACCAATTTGGATTAATTGAGAGCAGATATGGATAACCGAACCAATAGATCTAGGGGTTGAACAAGCTACCCCATTAATCGAAGTTTTAAAACACTAATTTAAATCTAGAGAATAACATGTATATTTTATATGGAGGTGACCCCCAATAGCAGGAATGGGTTTCTAATTTTTGTTAAATTTTTAGGTGAATAAAACCAGGAATAAGATCAATACTTCGTAGTTAAGGTGGTGAATTACCACATCACAACGTCTTAAGTTTCATTCCTACTACATTGGGTAAAGCTTGACGCCCACTATTAAATTTTCTCCCCACCATAAGCAAAATCATCCTCTTCCCAACTAAAAAAGCAGCCTTCATAAATTCTATTCAAGGTTCGCCCCATGTTAGATTTATCATCAATAGTGTAGGGAAAGCTATACTTCCCCTAATGTATAAAATTTATATATTTCCCCCTATCCAACCGTCTATTCCGTATATTCTGAATGGACGGTTAATATGGCTCTATTCTCAATGTCATATAGATATATACTATTTTATTTTAAATTTCTTTTACAGAATATTTTGATACCAAAATTTGAGCTTCTATTGCTCTCTTAAACTTGCACTCGTAAAAATATAAAAATAATATTCTCAATAAAATAAAATGGCCAAAATGACCCAAAAAGTTTCAAGGATATTTTGGTTATTTTATCTAAAATATTGTTGTAATATTTTTTTTAGGTGCACCCTATTTAGATGATGGCATGTACCAAATTTTATATTCATCTAATTTGTAGAAAAATAATTAAAAATAAAATACTTTGAAACATCAGATTTAGATTAAATGATTAGTAACAATATTGGATGGCTAGATGGGGGGAAGTATATATTTTATGCGCAAGCTTTCTATGCTTCCCATACAGTATAAAATTTACATTTTATGCGCAAGCTTTCTATGCTTCCCATACAGTATAAAATTTACATACTTTCCTTTATCCAATCGTCTATTCTGAATGGAAGGCTAAGATTGCCTCAATCACAATGTCACGTCTCTACACTATTTTATTTTTTATTTTTTTGTATAAACTATTTTGACACCAAATTTTGGACGTTCAATCCTCTATTAAACTCGTACTAGAGAAAATATAAAAAAAAAATTATTTTCAATAAAATAAAATGACCAAAATATCCCTAAAAGTTTCAAAAGGTATTTTGGTTATTATATTTTATCAAAAAAATTATTTTTAATATTTTTATAGGTGCGCCTTAATGAGAAGATACCACGTACCAAATTTCATATTCATACAATTTGTATAAAAAACATTAGAAATAAAATACTTTGAGACATCGGATTTAAGATCAAACAGTGAATGACTCTCTTGATCAAAATTGAATGGCTGGATGGTAGCGAAAGCATAGAAACCTTTCCCATATTTTATTGGGAAAGTACATAGCGTTAGCGCAAGGGCAATAGATAGGTAAACCTTATATCTGTTTTCCTTCACACAAATGGGTCAATTTATTGGCTCCAAGGAAATAGACCAACACAAAATCGTTAGTGCGACAAAATTTTGACCGGTTGCTCAGTTAAATAAAATCGATAAACGGTTGGTAGATTAAGACAAAAGGTTGGGAGATTAAGATGAATATCATTTTTTTAAGGATCATGGGATCATTACTCTATTTAAAAATTGTTTCAAAATTTTGATTTTTTTTTTTTCTATTATATTTTCTCAAAATACTTTTTAGTTTGTTACTCTCATTTCCAAATTGTGTTCAAGATGGTGGTTTAGCAAGAGTTCCAAACATATTCATTCCTTTAATAAAGTTCGGTACTAGAAGCATTGAACAAACTTAGATCCGATTTTACCCACAAAAAAAAAATAGAATAAAAAAAAACATTACACTCTCAACATCAACGTACTACCAATGATTTAAGCAATATCAAGATATGATAAATATTTTTTTCTTCTGTTTTTTAGCTACGTTATTTTATTTTATTTTAGTATGTAAAATTACCTGTTCCCTAGCGCTGGTATTGTTGTATGGAGATTTAGAATCATCAGAAGTGTAAATAGAGAACCAGCCTCTATGAACCTTAGCATCATCTCCACCACCACTGATAGGGGCGGCTGAAACCTGGCCAATATCGAAATCTTCGACCCATTCGAGAGCTTCGATCGTCCCCCTCCACGCAATCACGACATCTCGCCGCCCCAATTGTTTCTTCCCATTATCTGTGGCCACAGCCACAAAACCCATCCAATTCGATTCCTTACTCCACGCCTCTCTCGAAAGAGACCTGATCAAGAAGGCCTCAGGCACCTGCACACTCGAGGTTGCATATATGAACTTTGTGATCGTGTACTCGAAAGGGTTTCCATTAACCAAGTTGACCTTAGAGAAGAAGTCCCTTTTCGCATATCGGCAGCTGCCTGCGTATTTCGAAACACGCTCGTGGTTGAAGGCATCGTAGGCAGCTTGGGCCATGTCTCCATAGAGGAGAAGCAATCGCCTAAGGTCGAGATCGAGAGGATCTAACAGACCTTCCCAATTGTCCCTACCTTGAAGGATCCGCCATCGACTGGCCACGGTTCGGATCGACATGGCCCTTAACAGAGAAAGATACAGAATGGAGATGCAGTGAGATGGAGTGGAGCCTTCCTTCTGCAAGTTGATGCATTTACAGGACTTTTTATGAGTTTTGGTCTTCCCATTCTTTAGGGCAAGGGGTTCTGGTTTTGGTTTTGGCCTCCAAATTTTCAAGGGTTGATAAGGACATAAATTCATGGTGACCCAATCAAGTTAGTGAGACATCCTGCTATACATGAACCTCATTGGGGTGAGACAAGACGTTAGAATATGCCTTTTCTTGACTTCTGGACATAGAAAAAGCACATTTCAAAATAAGAGGCCTGTTTTACTTCTATGAGAAAATGGGTGACACAGAGGATAATGAGGTTTGTTTGAGCATATCCCAAGTTCGAAGATATTTCCTGTTTAGAGCAAAAAAACAAAGAAAAAAAGTGACACACCACTCTCATATTTGTAAATAATTCAACTTATATGTGTATTTCCGGTCCTTACTCCATTGTGTGAGTGGGGGGAGAGAGAGAAGGAGAGGGAGAGGGGTCCTCATCTTGTTGAGCTTTAAATAGGTTGCCTCCTTGTACTTAGAAGGCATATCTCTAAAATTTGTTTAGAGATGTCATTCCATGTCGAAAACCTCACAATGATTTGAAAATATATTTTTATATCTTGGTTATAAAAAATAAAATTTTATAAAATGGTACAAATTGAGCATATCGATAAACACTTGAAGATCTTGAAAATAAATAGTTCAGATAACTAGTTACTAGATGTACTAGTTTTTGGACCTATAATTCTTTTTTTCTTATTTTTTGGTCTCAATGCCCATATATTGGAGATCGAGATGATCCATTAAATGGTTCCCCAATGCCGAAAAACTCTCTTTTATAGGATTTTTGAGGTGCACCTACTTCAGTAATACAAGGAGAGAGAGATTCGTTTTGATGTAATCTGATTTGAGCGAGTCTTCAGGCAACCCGTTGCTTTCCTTTGGGAGGCTAGACTGTCGTAGAAGTCCTCCCAGCCATTGCGTGTTCCATGGACAAGGATTTCAATAATGATGAACACGTTACCGATCGCATACATTCCTAACCATATCCTTTCTCCTTTAAGTAGTTCAAATTTCAGAAACTAATACATTGTTTCACGTAATCAAAGAATAAAAAATGGAAAAAGTTTATATACGGATGAGGCTCTCAACAATTAAATTAGAGCCTATATAAAAAATTTCACTAGAAGAGGTTGTTTTTTGATGTCCAAATATCCTCAAATTGATCATCTCGACATTAAGATGCATGGACATGACAAAACAATAGATTTCAAGTTTTGAAAATAATGCATTTTGTAATACATTTTTGGATAGTCAATTTTCAAGATTTTCAAGTTTTCATAAATTGTCGATCTACACTATTTTTAAAGCTTTAAACTTTATAATTAAATATAAAAATATATTTTAAGGCGATCACAAAGATTTTCAGTATGAAATCACATTTCTTGATATTATTTGAAAATAGGCTCTAATTTGATTGTTTAGAGCTTAGGCACTTCACTGATCGCACCTCATAAAACATAAAGGAACAAAAATGGTAAACTCACGAACATGATGTTTCTTCTCGCCCATTCCGGGTGAGAGACGAGCATGGATATGTCACTCCTTTCCCCTTAGAATGATGGAAAGGGAAATGTTTTGATGGGATGATGCGCTATCAAAATGAGTAAAGTCCCACCTAAATTTATCAAAAATTGAAGTTCTGGTATCAGAAAACTTTCTCTGATCATCTTGACCTTGACGATGATGGTTATGAAAACAATAGAATTTCAAGTTTTATAAATAGTATATATTGTAATATATTATCTAGACTGTCTATTTTTAAGTGTTTATAGATCCGCAAGATTTGTACCAATTTTTTAGCTACAAATTTCATACTTGGTGGCGGAAATTGATTTTGGAGCCATCATAGAGATTTTCTGTACCCCAAGTGTTTTCCAGACAAGGTTTCAAGGTGAGGCTTTACTTTTCTTTCATAAGGCCTAAGCCATGTATAGAAACTGGAAAAAGTATACTAAGAGGCTATTTGTTTTTAATTCAAGGCGGTCACACCCACTTTTGCCTGTCAGATTTCAAATTGGGATTTGTGAGTGTAGCATTGACTAGACTCAAAACAACATGCATGTATGTGTGTGTGTATATATATATATATATATATATATATATATATATATAT